GTTCAGAATGATGGTCTTTGCATCTTAATCAGGAAAAGGCTGAGTTTATGTGCCAGGCCAGATGCTTCAGATTGCCTCTGGTAATAATGTCCATTTGTCATTGCACAGGTGTATTGTTGCTGAACTGGGACAAGGTTGGAAATTCGGCACTTAGAACTTAAAAAGGACACTGCTCTCAATTCACATTGGAGCTGTTTTCTTGCTTTTCCTTATCTTCTGCTATATATGTTCATATTAATCAAATCAAATTTTCAAATGATGAGAGCATCTGTCATGTAAACAGTGTGAGCCAAACACTCAGACTGATCTAAATACTGAGTATCTACTCTGTATGATATCACCCCCACCCACCTGCTGTTCACACCTTCTGTAGCTGGAGGGGCAGCCAATCAGAACCAACACAGTTTAAAGGTAGGGTGTCCTTAAATGGCTGGTTTTAGAGGTTGAGCTGAGGGCTGGATCAAGGCCCAGTTTAAGATTCCAATAAACTAATTTGAACTACAAACCATGTAAAATAAATAAATAAATAAATAAAAATAACTACTATTATGCTCATAGCCCCCCTTTTAAACATCTGGTGATATTCTTATGCCTTTAATCATTATCATAATGCCCATTGTTGATTGTCACAGGCTATGAAGCCAGTGAAGACAAGGCTTACAAGGAGCCCCTTCTAACCGACCCAGATGAGCCTCCACCGGTACCAGTAATGCTGGCTGAGCCAGCCGCCGTCACTCTGGAGTGCTCCGAGTCAGCCTACACAGAATACCCCAAGCCTGGGCAGCCAGGGCACACAGGTGGGCTGGTTAGTGATTGGTTGTTAGTCAGAGGAGGCTCTGAAGTAGTTGTGTATCAGCGGTGTTTATCCACATGTCTACACATGGATACTTTTGTGCTGATTTTGATGGGGCGGCGTGGACACCCAAGTTTGTAAACAAAGTAACTTGACGATGTCCACATTTATACCACAGGCACGGCTATTAGAAGGCTTTTAAGGATTTTAAGTGTGTTGGCCTCGTCAATCACACGGGGATCTAAATAAGTTTGATTTCACCTGATCTTGGATAACTCAAGGTTAGAATGAACTACAACCAAACACAGTCGGCTAATGTGGTCGAATATTAAGGGACAGTCTGTCCTCGGGCAGTAGATTTATTTTTGAAGGAGAACAGTGACCGCTTGAGAGGTATTTGTTTTATGTGTTATTTATTGCATCATTAAAATGTCATTGACCTGTTCCAGACACGATCTGCTACGAGACATTTATCTTTTTAAGTGCCCTCTGCTTGAAAGAAGTGTTGACAAAAACAACGAGGCTAAGGGAGGAATGGGTGGTATTAAGATGACTGTGATTATACAACCGTGTAGGAGTAGGTTTCTTAGCGCCCGTGCCATTGCTTCCAACACATTAAATTAGCTTGCATGAGTATTTGCTGTGTGTAAATACGACACTTTTGGTGCTTTTCTTCTTTCTTTTTTTCCTTCTCCATATTTTACAACCCTCTCCACCCACATCCCATTTCATTGTCTGGATAGTGTTTAGAGGATTAGACATAAGCTTAGTTGCTCCTTATTTTACCAAAATCTTTATCCTCTATCAACAGGCAGTGATCCCCAGCCTGACAACCCCCAGGAGGGCTTGAGGGAGCACCTGAAGAAGACCCTGGAGTTCTGTCTTTCCCGGTGAGCCAGTAGCTTCATATCACAGTACAGCCCAGAATTTTATGCTTTTCTTTGAATGTAGGGACATCTCCTTCACTAAGCCTCGAACTATCCATGAGAAACTGGCGTACTGTGCTGAAATCTCAGCCCATCTACTTCAATCATTGCTCAGCAGCTGTTTCATACTTGCTAATGGAGAAAAGCACTTAGATTAAGATCTGGAAGGAAAAACATCTACTTGAAAGTGATTAACACAATGACTTGTGGATGACTGTGTGCAGTCCACTCATGTGTTATTCTGCCTCCTTGAATCCTGTGGTTCCTGATTGGTATAATCAGCACATTAGGCTCAAATAATACTTTCTGTGGCAGTGAAACCTCAGGCGTCCACAGTAGCCTTCATGACGTAAATGTTGTCATCTGCCTGTGCTCCCAAGGGTCTGCATCTGTGCACTCCCCAACTATGACTGTTGGCTGGCTGCACGTGTGAACACGACCTGAAACCCACTGTACCATAAACAAAAATGTTTCTGCTCTATGCTTGCTCTCATATGCTATTAGTTTTCTCTTGGTTTACTCCCAGGGCCCAAATTTTATTTTGTTTTGGGCATCAAGACAAAATCCAGACTTTTAATATGTGGTTTGTTTATTTGCATTTGTGTGTATTTGTTCTACTAGAGAATTTAAGATCGTCTCGAACAACGGTGACTGCCCATGAGATTGCTTTTAAAGTACAACATGGGGCTTTAAACCATAATGAGCCTTGTGCAGTGTCCAGCTACAGGCGCAGTGTGCATTTATACTTGCTCATGGGAGGGGGGATTGTACTGCTGCAAATCTTAACCAAATACCCATCTCATATTATAGTTCTCTTTATTAGTGGTATTAGTAGTAGTAATCTGAAAGCTAAAGGTTAAAAATGAATCCGCCTTCCTCTGTAGACTCGGACATCTCTGCTAGTAAGAGAGGGGACGGCTGCTTTCAGCCGGAGGCAAAGTTTACAAGAAATCTTCTTAATTTAGAAAATTAAGCAAGATGGGGCTTTTTTCTTTCTACCTTCCTTGTTTAAAACAAGCCTGTGACCAATGATGTTTAAGCTTTTTGACCATGACTTTTAGGTTTTGATTACATTTACAGTGACGGCGTTAACAAGGGCTGCTGTTAATTCTAGGAAAACATTTACTCCCACTCCAACTGGGTCGTAGCACTGCCTCCTAATTGTGTGGATTTTGTGTGTTTCAACCTTTTTGTTGGAGGGACACTTAAGCTCTGTGGGTTGAATGTTGTAACACTGCTCATTCGGACTGTCACAAACTGGGCCACACACTCATTCCAATTAAGGCTTATTAAAGTAAAATAACCATAAAAGAGAAGACTTAAACAGTGGTGGGTGAAGTCAGTATGGTCAGTGGTGTGAATGTCATATTGTATGACGCAACAAAACAAAACAAACGGCCGACAAGATCCAAAAGTGGTGTCTCAGGGTGCCTTCGTGGAGCATTTGTACACTGAATCAGCCGTCTGTCTGCTGTGTGTGTGTGTGTGCGTCCGTCCGTCCGTCCGTCCGTACAGGGTTCATGGGAATTCTGCTTTTTTATTCCCCCTCTCTCTTTGTCAGAGTAAATTAATATTTTCGGTCGTACTGGGAGGTGTGATGGTAATTATATATGTTCCAACATCATTGTTCATGTGCTAAAAGAATTATTAAATCCATCAATAATTAAATGTGTGTGTGCAGCTAGTGTACTGGAAGACTATGTATTGTTTTTGATACCGATCAGGCCTCTTCTCTCTCTCTCTCTCCCTTTGGGTGTGGGCGTCAGGCGTAGTCTGAATGAAAGCCTTATTTCATACTTTTGAATGCCTCTGCGGTGGTGGTGGCTTAGCTGCTGATTTGAAAGGAACTGAGGCCTTGAAAAATTCATTTCATTTTCTCCTCTCTGTGAACTTGGAACAAGCCAACAACAATAGCATACTGTTAGCTTCTCCAAAACTACAGTGGAAGTTAAAAGAAAAAACCCCCCAAAACTGATCAGATATGAAAACAAGAAGCTATAGAAACCAAAAGACTACTGCTGGGTTACAAAATACTGGACCATACACACCTACAGTGCATTCTTTTGAGAAAAATCTCACAGTTGCAAAAGCAAAGCAGCCAAATGTGCAACAGCTGTAAACTGAAGGAGTTTCAAAAGGTGCACTTGTTACCAGAAGAGCAGCGATTCAGATGCAGTGTCACCCTCAGCAAAGCTGATGTTTATTACACGTGTAAGAGTCGCTCTTATTTAAGAGCAGCTGTGGGTGCTAATCACAGAATTGTTTATCAGAGAAAATGAAGTTTGTTTTCACTGCTGCACCTTTTGCCACCTACACCATGAAAGTCTAACTAACCTCTCCTATCTGCGTCTCCGTTTGGCAGGGAGAATCTGGCCAGTGACATGTACCTCATCTCCCAAATGGACAGTGACCAATATGTGCCAATTGTGACGGTGGCCAACCTGGACCACATCAAAAAGCTCAGCACGGACGTGGAGCTGATTGTGGACATCTTACGATGTGAGCGACATGCTTTCAAAGTCACAGTTTTATGCACCAGTTATTTTTCTTGGAGTTCAATCAGAACTCGTCATTGTGCTTGTTTACCTGAACGAGCTGCATGTCAAGAAAACCTTATCAGAGTGAATTTCTATCAGCATGTGGTTGGAGTTGATTTCCCAGGAGAGGTCGTTAAAGTGCATCCAGCAGAGTCTTACCTACTTGTGTTTGATTTGTGCTCGTACTTAGTTTACTGCTTAAATTAATCCTTTCTAGCTTGGAGGCCTTTTATTTAATGGCTCATTGATCTGTACACTGCCAAGAGTTTTATATTTGAATTTAATCAGGTTACTGTAAATAAACCATCATGTAATTACGCTGCGATTAGGCTTTTTGCATTAATATTTTTTTCTGAAGATGTTCAAGTATGAAACTGCTTGTAATTTACAGATCACCCGTTTGGCCAGTTTCAGGTCCTGCATCCATGATTAGAAATTTTACATATTTATCTATGTTATACAAAGCCTGAGTGCAGCCCCCGTCCATCCTGTCTGAAACAGTCTCTTTTAGCTCCCTTCCCCTGCATTTAAGACAACTTTTTTCCTGATTGGCTGCTCCTCACAAACAGGTGGATGGGGCTGCTGTGCCCAAAGCTCCAGCTATGAGATCATAGCTGGAGCTTTGGGCGCATAGGAGTTAAATACTCTGACCTCATCATTTTAGACTTTGTTCATATTTAATATGAGACTGTTGTACACTCTGGTGTGTGTGTGAGTGTCTGTCATAGAAAATAAGAGTAAAACTGCAAGATTAGTCAGTGTTTAATTTGCATTATTTTTTTCCAGCATATTTGAGTCCTCGTAATTTTGTGAATACAGGAGGTACCCACATGAAATTCAGAGCCTGAAAAGCACTTTTAATATCTGTTACACACAGAGTCTAGTCACATCTGCACATGTTAAAATAGAAGTCTGTTAGAGGAGTCGTGCACCAAAATGCATCCAGAAAGTAGATTTGTGGTCTGACTGTTTTGGACCAGTGGCCACGGTGATATCAGCCTTTAAGTTCACAGAAAAGAAAAAGAAAATCTTCAGAAACAGATTGACAGATCACACAGAATTTCAGCCCACCTGTGAGTTCCTTCAGGACACATAACCAGGAAACGTTTCATAGTTTGAAGGTGAACATTTTGCAAGGTTTCATTAGATCTGTGAAAGTTATTGTACGTAATAAACTAGCTGATTATGAAGGGCTTATTAGGTGGGATGTACTGATTGATCCTTCCTGAAATGGCCCATAACGCCTTTTCTTTATGGCTTCCTGCAGCTTTGCCATTGGTCCAGGTGGATGAGAAGGGGGAAAAGGTGCGACCCAATCAGAACCGCTGCATCGTGATCCTCAGAGAGGTTCCAGAGAGCACGCCCATAGAGGTCAGTGCCGAAACAGGATGTCCAATTACACGTCTGTCATTTGACGCTACTGTCATGAGTCAACAAACACTAGAAGCATTATTATTCCATGGAAATGGCTCACGCCTAGAACACAAGCATAGCTTATGTACACTGTAGACGCCAGTCTGGTCTGGGTGTCTGATTGATAGTTTGCCTTTATGGTCTGTTCACATTTGTTTAGAAGGTCTTCTATTTACAGTCCCAGTAGTTAAACTGGGATTGTAAATAGAAATGCAAGTAGATAAATGTTTGCTTTTAGTTAATTAAATTTAGTTCTTCTTTAATATTTTACTCATTTCTGAATTCAGGGGAAATATTCTGCTAATGAAGTTCAAACATGGATGAAGTCGACAGACTCTGAATTATTTAATGTTTCTGTTAGGATGCATAACTTAATATAGTGAATTCTTATGCCTCAGTCACCATAATTAGTTTTTTAGTTATCATATGTGCCTGAACAGGTAACTCTACACGTATCCTTGATTTATTTAGGATTTGGTGTGTTTTATGTCGTGTTCTTGGATATTTTTTAAATCAATCTTTGTTATGCTTAAAGCGGAGTCTGCAGAATGCTGTCACTGTTACACATTAAGCTAATTAAACCATGATAACGAGGTGGTATGACTCCAAAGGAGACCAGAGAGTAGACATTTAAGGTAGACACCTCACCTTTCCAAAATGCAAAGTCGGGATTTTATCCAGTCATGACCCGTCCTTTCCCAGCAAGCACCACAAACCACACATTTTGAGCATTTTGAGGTTATTGAGAAGCATTTTCCTGTCGAGCAGTGACGGTAAAACATTTGCAGAGGTCTTGTGTGATATCAGTAACTCTCTTATCTGCCCCAGCCTGACAGAACATTTTCAGTTCAGCTGACTCCGAGCTAATGACTGTTATCACAGCGGTGCATTTTCAGCTCCGCAGAAAGTCCACGTCAAACAGATCTGCTCATATAAACAATATTTTTCTATCACATCATTCCCCATATTTCCTTAATACTGGAAAGTACACTAGTTATTTTGCTCAGAGCATCATATTTAGTTGTGAAATATAGAGAGAGGAGCAGCGAAACGTGGTTTTCTGCAGCTTATTCAATTATGGGTTGTTTGTAGTCTAAATCTTACGAGTATTAAATGTAATAATGTACCTTTGGTCCAGTTTAACCTGCGGGAATTTGTGAAGGCTTCTTTAAAGCTTTTTGCACCCACAGAGAGAAGAAATTGGAAAACATGCTTGTAGTGTCTCCTGATGTCTTTACGGCAGATATGAAGTAAATTCATCAAACAGCCAAAAATTATAAGCATCTCTAGAAGCAACAAGGGGTCGCCCAGTAGTGCAGCTCTCTGTGATGCACTTCATGATGCAGCTAAAAAAAAAGGGGGGTTTTGTTTTGCTTGTTAAGAGAATGTGTAAACTAGTACTCTGTGGAGTTCAATAATAATAATAATGACAAAACAAAACCAGAAGGTGAATCTGGCTGCTTGAAGAACCAGTTGGAAAATGGAAAATAGCCTTAATATTGGACACATTCTCTGCTTCAAGGTGTAATTTTGAATGAAGCTGCTTCAGGTTAAACTAATACAGCACTTGTGTAGTTTACTTCCCACGGTGCAAGCTGTGCCAACAAGAGGCCACCTATGAAATCATTCACATATAGCAAAGACTGATCTAATCTGCCATTAGACAATAATGACAGATGGAGGAAGCTTCCAGGTCTGAAGCGTGACGTCAATACAAAGTGCCGTCTTATGACCAGCAGGGGGCAGCTGTTCTGATTGCAGATTCTATTGAAAATAAACATGTAAGGCAACATGGTGGCTATGTCCACTTTTAAATCTGTAATTGGGAAACATAACTGAATAGATCTTCATTATTATTTTTTCATAGTCTTGCTGCCCAGCCTGGGCCACCGGGGTTGTAGCAGATCTGTAGTGAAACAGTGGAATGAAATGAGTTTCTCTTGTTTTGCAGGAGGTCGAGGCTCTTTTTAAGGGGGACAACTTACCCAAGTTTATCAACTGTGAATTTGCCTACAATGACAACTGGTTCATCACTTTTGAATCAGAAGCAGATGCACAGCAGGTATCCGTACATGTGGACAGTTAATTTCATGCATTCATTCAGTTTTGATTTCATTAGTAATTTATACTAGTATTTAAATCTGAGTTTAAGCATCAAAGTTATCAGTGAACTTTGTGTGTTTTAAGTCACTAATGCTGTCCTGCGTTTCCTTTGTTTTAAAGGCATATCAATATCTCCGTGAGGAAGTAAAGACCTTCCAAGGGAAGCCAATAAAGGTAGGCTCACATTTTATTGGTTTGAGGCTGAGCTGGAAAGAAAACAATTTGCAAATCAAAAGATGCTCGAGAACCAGATGCACCCTGCTGGTGGTGATTTCAGGCTCTCGTCACTGTCAGTTTATGCATTTTGAGCTATATTCAAACCACTTCTGTTCATGAATGTGGTCTCAAAAGTCAAATATTATCCCCTGTCATGCAAAATGAATCAGCAGAGAAGCACACATCCAACTTTTTTGTAGACAGCTCACAAATCACAGGTTTTTGCTTAAGGGGTTCATTCAGAGGTCTGCTTGTTATTTAAGGACCACATGAAGCGTGTAAATGTAAATTGCATTCCTCTGTACTAAAACAATTTTTTAGATTTGGCTGAAAAACGTTGATCAATACCTCTAAGCCCATGGTACACATGAATATTTATTAACAACCGATGAAACAAACAAATTTTGTGAAGATGGTTGAGAAATGTATTTTTTTATTTGTATTTTTTCCTCAACTGTATTAGCAGTTATAATATCGATCTCTCTTTTGGGCGCTGGTGCTAATTTCTCTCTCTGTTTGGGCTCTTTCTACCAGGCGAGGATAAAGGCGAAGGCAATCGCTATCAACACTTTCATACCAAAGAACGGTTACCGGCCGGTGGAGGTGAACCCGTACGCTCAGCAGCGCTACACATCCTACTACATCCCGCCGGTTTACAGCCCCCAGCAGCAATTCCCGTTATACAGCCTCATCACGCCGCAGGCCTGGTCGGCCACACACAGCTTCATCGACCCCGCGCTGGTAAGAATGAGTTACTGTGTGTTTATTGGATTTTGGAAAGAAGAAGTCAAACAGGTGCTCAGTTGTGTATCAAAAACGGTAAATTCACATTTGTTTTTGGATTTAAGATTAAATCAGGACCAGCAGATCAGCACCAGGATTAAATTTAGTTACTTGTGTTTAATATTGACTTTTTCGGTCTGAATAATACACTGTGCTTTCTGTAGTGGCTGCTTTATTAAATATAAACTGTTTAAATTGGTGCTATGAAGCATTAATAGGTTTAGAGCCACTTTCACATTTTTAAGACACTTTTTATAAACATACAATATCAACAACTACATTAGAAAACATTAAGTTCAAAAGTCACACAACTAGCTTAATAATTTGTTACTTAAATGCATCTTATTTAACTGTTTTTCTGTCTCCAGGTTACTCCATTTCACAACAACCAGTTCATCAACGGATTTACATCTCACAGTTTCAAACCAGCGACGTCGCCCCTCACTGTCAGACACTACTCGCCCAGGAACAGGTTTGTTATAGTTCAGTGGAACAATGTAGTTAATGTACGTGCTGTTGGAATAATAAATCCAGGTAAACTGGCAGCATCTCACCTTTCTCCACTTGTAAACACACTGGAAGTTCGTCAGTCGTCCCAGCACATCTCCATCACCCTCACACAGGGTGTGATCAGCTGTTCACCCACTAATGTTGTGTGTATGACACACAGCTGTGTGTTTAAACAAACCGAACATAGAACATAAAACATTTGTTTTTACTTATTTGTAATCCCAGGGGTGATTGACAGATTAACCATATGATGATTATTTACCTGTTTATCAAAGTTTTGAGGTTGGTTTTTTTTGGTTTTTTTTTTAAATTAAGGATTTGTTACAATATGAATTTAATGGGGTAAAAGTCTGTGAAGTTGTTTTCTGTTGTCCAGTTTTGGTGAGCCCACGTGAGTTTTCTGTTTTTAGCTGACAGGAGTGGCACCAGGTGTCGTCTTCTGCTGCTTTAGCTCTTCTGTTTCGAGGCTTGAGGAGATCAGAGATGCTCTTCTGCGTACTTTAGCTGTAATGAGTGGCTTTTTGAGTTCAGGTCGTCTTCCTGTTAGCTTGAAGCAGTCTGGCCCCTCTGCTCTGACATCAACGAGGCATTTTCGATCATAGAGCTGCTGCTCACTGGATGTGTGCTGTTTTTTCATTCTCTGTAAACCCCAGAGATGGTTGTGCAGCTAAAATCTCAGAAAATCAGTTCCTTTTGTATTTCGTAAATAAACCATCAGCATATGGGAAATGATTGTATCTAAATAATTTATCCACTTCCAGTTTCACTGAGTTTGTAGATTTTTTACTCCTCCAAAGGCTGAAGACGCAACACAAACGCAAAAATGAAATCTCACCATCTGGTTTTACCTGTCACTTGCGGGGTCCTTCACAGAATGAGTTTATTGTAGGCCCAGGGTTCGATTATTCACTTTAAACCCAAGTTTTAATGCTCACATGGACTCACAAGGTTTTCCTTTTCTGCAGGAATCACAGCAAACCTCACCTGAGGCCGACCATCCCCACAGCGGATCGCAGCACTGGGCTACTGGACAGCCCGAGCCTCTTTGCCGGCTTTCCCAGCGAGAGGCTCAATGGGGCTCGCAGCAGCCCGCCAACGCGACTCCCCACCAGCCAACCCAGAACCAGGTTACCCTCCACTGCAGCCTTCCCTCGTAGGGACACTGTGGGCACGGGGCGAGTAACGGAGCCCGCAACCACAGACTACTCGCTGGGGATCGGCCGAGGAAGGTCAGGCACTGATCATTTACTTGTGTAGAGCAATAACTCTGCCGCTCCCCTCTGATAGTGCAGGTTTCCAAAGTGTTATGAGAGGAATTCAACAGTTCACGCTGACACTTTGAATGTGGTTGTCCTAAAGTGAAAACATGAGTAAACTAACAGGCTCAGGTGATTCTCTTTTGTTCTTGGACACAATGTCTTTGGAAATGGGATGCCACACATTTCCTGAAGTTTTGGTCCTCTTAGGGGAAACAGTCAGTACAAAGTGTGGTCAAAATGTTTGGAAATTGAGCTCTAAAAATGAAAAACCTTACCTGATTTAAATTTGGCCAACCTCCCATTCAGAATCATCTTCGCATACACCTCAACCGGCTCGTTGTGGTACAGCGTCCGCAGCACTTTGTGTTGGGCAGCAGCCCAGGCGGAGGCCCTGTCGGACCAATCGCCAGCCTCGATTCTTCAACTGGATTCAATTTTTGTGAAAGTGGAAAAACTAAAAGCGAGGCGAATCGTGCTCCTGCTGTCACTCCTCGCATGACTCACTCTGTTCAGTCTTACAAACTAACTTTAAACTGAGACCCAGCTCCCATCACCAGTGATCGACCTCCATCCAGATTTTGCGTCACTTTAAAACGAAAGACAAGATTTGCCGTCTGGCTAAATTGCAGAGCAAAGAGTGTAAGTGGGCACAACAGGACTTCTAAGAATAGCAGCCGCATTGGAAGCTGTCTGGACAAACTAAGAGATGATGACACTGAACAGGGCATCAGCCAAATTTGAGTGAGGTAATGTTTTGGAGCTTTTTGGCCACACCTTATCCAAAGCTGTTCTGAGTGATCACCTTTATCCTCTGATGAAACATTTATGTCGTGCTGCCAGCGATCACTTCCAGAATGACTCACCATTAAAACAGCAGATGAGCGAGTTTCTTTTAGAGGACTTGAAGCTGATCTGGTGGCCCAACATCTTAAGCTTTACGTTTACTTGTCTCTGTGTTTAATGGGATCTGG